CTGGTATTGTCCTCCACTTTTCAGCATCTTCAAGTAGGTTTTTCCTTGTCAAGTTGTATCACTGCTTCCTGCAGTGTGTGTGTGTGTGTGTGTGTGTGTGTGTGTGATTTCATTATTCTCATTGGTTATCAAATTCTTGGTTGGATTTTTTTCAGCATCTTAGATATAATTTTTAGTTGTCCTCTGGTTCATACATTTTCTGAGAATTCTGTTGTTGAGGGGGTAACAGTTTATATAAATGTGTATAAAATTGTTTACTACTTAAGAGCCTATTGTTATAGACTGAATGTTTATGGTGCCCACGTTCATGGTACAGTCCCAATCTTCTGGCGTGGCTGTAGTTGAAGATCGGGCCCCTAGGGAAATAGTTGAGGCTAATTGAAATGGTAAGCGTGGACTCCTGATCCGATAGGAGTCCTGTCTATTAGAAGAGACACTTGGTAACTTATTCTCATCCCCCCCACCCTTTTCTTTTTACCTCTCCCTTCCTGCCACCATTGTGCCTGCACCCAGGAAAGGCTCTATGTCGACATAACAAGACAGCAGCCCTCTACCAGGGGCACAACTTTCATCAACACTGACTTGATCAGAATCCTGATCTTGGACTTCTAACCTCCAGAATCATATGAAAATAAATTTCTTTTGTTCAAGCTGCCCAGTCTATGGTAGTATGCATAGGACAACAATAGAACAGTTAATTAAGTAATCAACTACTCACATAATGGAATGATATAGAAAATTGAGAAAAAAAGTACAACCATATGCGCAACATGGATGAATTATATACACACACTGAGGATTAGATCTTTTATTTTTTCTATTTCTGATGTTTGACCTCTGGGCCTTTGCCAACAATGGAGGGACTGCCTCTTTCAGGGCTAATTCCTCGAGATTATAAATAACTCCAATGTTCTTTTCATATGCAAGCCAACCAATCCACAGCCTGTATCCCAACCCCCTCCTCTTATTCAGGGACATTATACCCTGGGTTCATCAGCCCAGAGCTGGTCAACAGGCAACTAGAGACAGCACCTATACCTCGGAACCGCTGGATGTATTCCAACCATCCAATCTTAACTCTGTCCATCCCTCACTTACTCCTTCCTGCAGAAGTCATACCAAAGACACCTGCCCACAGGTTCTAACTCTGCATTCTGCTGACTGATTCTTGGTGCTTCCCCACGTGGCCCTGTGTAGTAGCTTGTTGTTTCTAAGGCTCTGTGAATACACACTTTTTCTTTCATGACAGTCATATCAGTGTCTGCATGCCCTGCCATAACTGATTAAAACAAACTGTAGATAAAACCTATCCAGAGAGTCCATAGTGTATCATTCTGCTTAGGTGAAGTTCAGGGTTAGGCAAAGCTAATCTATGGTGTCAGAAATCTGGAGAAGAGGATAAGCCTGGACAGGAATTAGGAGCGTGCTAGCTCTTGGCCCTACAGGCTTTGTGTGCTTCTCCTAGTGTCTGCTTCTGTTGTTGACATTACACAGACATGGTGGGGGTGCTAACTCACTCATCTAAAGCCCTTGATCCAAACCCAGGCTGGAGCTGGGCCCTAAATTGCCTCATAGAAGAAGGAGTGAGCATGGTTGAAATCAGCCAAGCCCCAGCTGAATCAAATGACTGCCAGCCAACCCACAGACACACAAGCTGAGAATGATTGGTTTTTATTAGGTATTGACTTTATGGGTGGTTTGTTTTTCAGCAAAAGCTGTTACAGTGGTGGGAAAAAAAGATAATGAAGACCAAAATGGGTGAAGAGAAAAACTGGGTGGTGGTGAGGAATTGATACAGGAGAAATTTCATTATAAAAAAAAAAGTCATTTCATTGAGCTGGGTTTTCAAAGGTCACACGGCTTGTTCTCCTAAACTGTAGGGAACCATGAAAAATGTAGTTGCTTGGGTCTGCAGTTGGCTTCCTGGGGAAGCTATGGCTGCTGATGACAGAGAAAAGCAAGCAACCAGGACCACACAGGGAGGATTTGAGCGTGGGTGGGATGAGGGGACGATAAACTGCGTCAGTGTTGGGTAGGGTTGAGTTTGAGGTCTCTGGAAGGCATCCAAGTAGGGTTTTGTAGCAGGGTGAAAATGCGAGTCTGAAGCTCAGGTCCCTGCTGGAGGTTGTATTGGGTGTCCTTACCAAGCAGGCAGTGACTGAGGAGGCTGGGGCTACATCCGCAGGGTAAAGCAAGTGCAAACAGAGCTGGAAGCAACCAGCTAGCTGACATCTGATTATCCCATGGAATGTGCTTCAGTCAGTCTGGGGGAATCCTAGGTGTGACTAGTTAGAAACTGAAGCATGATTACCAGTAAATTTGTTTTTAATGCCAAATATCTTTTATTTGGGATGACATGGTTGAAGCGAGATTTCCAAGACATTTTCAAAAGGCAGAGGAGATAAATGAATTTAAGTCAATGGTTCTCATCTATGACTGACATATTGTTAGGTATCTCAGATCATCAAGAATGACACAAAAATCTTCAAAACAAAAATAATTCTCAGTTTTATTCAAAACTGTAAATAAACAAACCAAATACACCCAAGCCTGAGAGGAGTGTCATCTCCTTAACAACATAAAAGTCCAAAAATACTAATACTTAGTGTTCACTCAGCTCATACTGTTACCCTTTTAAAGTAGCAGTGCAGTCACAAGAAAACGTTTTATGGGCACCTCGGATGGGCCTCAGAGAATCACAGAGCAAGGAGCCACAGCCCTGCCCCCAAGAAACTTCCAGTGTAGCCAGAGTGACACTGTAGACTTCCAGAACACACAGGAAGACCTGGCTCTGACTCCACACCTCTGTCCTGACACGAGCCATCATTGGCAGAAGGCACCCTGTGTCTTGACAAATGAGCCCCAGGAACATCTTAGCACTTCAATGCTCAATCAAGTTTCAATTTGACAGGTCAAGAAACAAAATGTTTTTGCTTGGTTCATTTACACTTGTTTCCCTTCATTTGAATTAAAAGAGGAAAAGCATAATTCTGGGCCAACTATACATAATGTTCATGTCCTAAATGAAGGGGTGGCTTGTTCATGTCCTAAATGTATCTGCAGTTCCATGTCCTGATGTCAACTTCAGTAGTTTTTATCGCCAAACCAATGTGCCAATTCAGACAGTGTGGAGACAGCGCCTTGTCCCACCTTAGGGTCCATGCTGATGAAATGCTCCTGGTTCACCATAGAACCCCCAGTCTCAAGGCAGGGATAAGGCAGGGATGGCTCTCTCCAGTTCTCCCTAGAGTCTTTCATGTGCGATTGGCCAGAAGCAAAGTTCTTTGTGCAGAATCTCCACAGAGTGCTCTAGGTTTCCTCCTGAACGGTGGGTGAATGTCAGACTTAAAGGCATCTTCTACACTGGATCTTGGCTAAAAGGCCAAGAAGCCAACAATAGCATCTTCTACATAAGCATCAAAGGGTCGTTTCCAGATAGGTAGCATCTTGCTGTCATTAGATAGGACAGTGGTCACGCTTCTTGAGTGTTCATAGAGCTTCCGAATATTTTCTCCACTGTTAACACCTACTGTAGACACAGGCATCCGTGCAGGGCTGGCTGGCCAGGGATAGACAGCAAAGGCTGTGGCAGGGCCGTCTTTCTGGATGGGGGGCTAGCTTGGGCACCGCCCAGGCAGGGGTCCGAGGTGAACCAAGCCGCCAGTTGCAGGAAGGAGCCAGTGTGCAGCTCACCGTGCTGGTTCCGGGAGTAGAGTCTACCATGAGACTTTTAACCCAACAGGGAGATGGTAAATCTCATTGCTTAGCAAACAGAGGGTGCCTTGTAGCACCTTCTACCCGGTCTCCCAGGAGCTCGGATACATGCCCAGGTGGAGCAGATGAGGCGGGTGGGGGCGGGCTTTTATTGGAACAACTGGTCTAACTCGGAACAGCTTGGGGCAATCTTGAGTGGGGCTCTGGGAGTCAGAGCTGCAGCGAGCCAGCGCAGAAGGGTGAAGAAAGCTCTCAAAGAAAGGGAGACGGAAAAGGACCGGAGGAGACAGGAGCAACGTAATCTAGGAAGTTGGGACAAGAAGATGCGAACGTGAGGGGAACAGCAGGCAGGAAGAGATCGACCTGGAAGGAGAAAGCCAAGACCAAGAAAGAAGGAAGCGAGAAAAAGCAGAAAGAGGGAACGAGGCAGGAGGCGACAGCCACGGAAGTCTGCGTGCGGAATCATCGAAGGGAAGAGGCAGGAGAGACAGAGAGGGAGAGAGAAGGGCGGGAAAAGAACCGCGTCTGGGCCTGCGAGGCGCCGGGGACCCCGCTCAGGAGCTGGGAGGGGGCGTCCCGCGGGAGAAGATCCACACTTCAACCTGGCTCGGAGGAGCCGGGGCTGGGGCGGACAGACAGGACGAGGACCACGACCGGCAGCCGGAAGCCGTGCGCTCGCACCCACACCTAGCGGACGTGCGTATCTGATCGAGGCAGGTGACTCAGGGGAGCACGCGGGGATGCAGATAAAGCGCGGTGAGGCCAGTACTTGCCTGGGGGCGTGGTGGGGCACAGCCAGCACTGACCCGGACAGCGGCGAAGCAGCCGGGCCCGCGGACCAGGGTGGAAGGAAGGAAGGAAGGGTGCAGGCTTGGGTGGGAGCTGCACAGGGGGTGACGGAGCGCAGAGCACCGAGGCGCGAGCGGCGTGGCGACCGCACAGAGGATGTGCGCGGGGCGGGAGAGCGACCCCGGCTGGGTCGTCCCAGCGGCTTTCATTTGGGATTTCGTAGCCTCAGAAGTTGCCTTAGGAGAGGGTGTGATGGGTGACGAACAAGTGACCTGGGAGGAGAAGGCGGGCTCGCAGGCGGGGCCGGGGGCCCGGCGCAACTCTTGGTCCTCCCCTTCTGCGCTGGCTGCATCCCGACGCGCCAGCTCTGCGTGCCAGGCATCGTGGCTGAGCCGAGCCTGGGCCCGCCGCACAGAGGTGGGAGGCACGATGGAGGGGCGGGAGCCAAGGCCGAAGGGGCGGACGCGGGGTGGCGTCTCTTGCTTCATAAAGGGGCCGTGGGGGGCGCGCTCTCCTCTGCGCGCGCGGTGGCCATCGGCGGGGAGCACGGCGCGATGCCTCTTAGGTGCCAGCAGAGCCCGGTGGTGGCAGGCAGCGTCACTTTGGCCGCCCTGGGGGCACTGACCCTGTACCTCGCGAAGCCTTCGGGCTACGGGAAGTACACGGAGAGCCTGGTGCCCGGAGCTGCCCGCCTGCCCGCCCGCGCCGCCTGGTTTTTGCAGGAGCTGCCCTCCTTCGTGGTGCCCGTGGGCATCCTGGCCCGGCAGCCCCGCTCTCTCTTCGGACCGCCTGGCACTGTGCTTCTGGGCCTCTTCTGCACGCATTACTTCCACAGGTAGCATTTCCCTGCGGGAGTCCAGGGCGTCCAGGAGCGCTGACAGCTCGCGGCGCGCACCGGGGAGCGCGCAGAGGCAGTGCGGCCAGCTGCGGGCATGCGGGGGCCGGGGCCTGGACGGGCTGGGTTGGGACGCGGCTGGCTGCGGGGTAGAGGCCGCCTCCCCGCGCCCCCCCTCCGCCCCTCCCCTGGCCCTGCACCTTTTTCGGTGCTCCAACTCCTCTGGCTGCCCTGGGGAGGAGGTCCTGCGGGGCGGGCAGCGAGCTGAAAACTCAGGTTGGGCAGAGCTATTGGCAGCGGCTGCACCTTACCTGGGGGCCGCCGGCGCCACCGCTTCCTGTGCCTTCGCGTTTTTATGGCAAGGGGCGGGCAGGTTACTTGGGGGCTTGAGAATTTGAGTGTTGGCGCTTCCTGTAGCAAGCTGGCTCAGGGGTCCTGGTCCTTTTGGGTCTTTGCGGGATGCCAGAGGTGAGAAAGTGAATGGGGGACCCCCTACTCCTTAGTTCCCACCCGCAGGGACTGAGCTCACCCCCACCTTAGCGACCTTCCCTTGGAACTTGAATGGTGAGTCGGTCAAAGTTAGTGGAGAGCCCAAATGCTCTTCTAAACCCGAAATTTCCAGTTCAGGACTTTGCTTTTTGACCTGGGAAGGAAAGGCAGGGAAGAAACCAGGGGATGTGGGCATCCGGAGAATGAGGGGTGAAGCCTCCCGGCGCGCGGGCGGGGGGCGGGGCGGGGGGAGAACAGGGTTTTTAATCACCTGCCGTGCGCCACCATTTAGTGTCTCCTGTCTGATTTAGCCCCTCTGGGAACCTTGTGGGAAATTAAGTATTGTGTCCACGTTACACAGATTGGGGCCGAGTGAGGTTCTGTGACTTTGAGAAGATGATACAGCTAGTGCCCAGCGAGGTTCCAACATGAGCCTGCAAATCTTGGTGGTTCCGGGTAGGGAGATGCTCCAAGCCAGCAAGGGGGGGGGGGGGGGTCAGAGTCCCTCTACGGAAGAAAGTTGCCAAAGCAAATTAAGCCATCAAACAGAAACACAACCTTATTTTGATAGGATGATCCCTGGGCCGCAAAAGACCAAGGGCATTTAGGTAACAAATTAGGTTAAAGAATTTCTCTGGAAGCTGAGCCGCATAAGTCTCTCTCCCATGAGGGGAAAATGATGCCTCATTTCGGGGGAGGAGGGACAGACAAGATTTCCACCTGTCTGTCCTGATTCCCTCCTGTCCCCTGGATCTTCTGTATTGGCCAGGATTTCATATTTATGCAACCTTAGCTGAATTTTATTTTAAAAACATAAGTATTGGCAATCATTAAGAAGCAAAGTTTATGTCCTCACCACAGATAGTTACTGAAAACATATGGTGGACAAGTTGTGCTTTTTTTTTTTTTTTGCCCAGCATTAGATGGTTTAGTTTGCACAGGTAGAAGGATGTCAGATGCCAGAGATAAGAGATCAGTTTTGATTTCACCAATTTTGGAGCAGATACCTATCTTTTTTTTAGTAGATTTTTGACAGTAAACTGTGACTGTATTGACAATTATTTTTATCTTCAGAGTAACTGCTGTCGGCAGGATAAACAGCATTTGTATGAAGTATGGTTAGTGTTTTCTGACAATCCTATTAACATAAATTTTAGACTTGTTTTTAAAACCAAAAGGCACTTTGCACAATGAATTATGACCAGTACATTAAAAAGAAAAACCAAGAGAGTAATTATCAACAAAACGAATTACCTTCATGCCGTTCTGCTTCTTCAGGGGAAAATTTAAAATGTTAGTAAAAGATTTGGGGCTTGGTGCTGCTGGAGGGAAAATTGCCCACTAAAGGCACAAATTTGAGAGACCTGTCCCTGTGCGTCAGGTGGGTGTGCCTCCCTCTCCTTAGCTGGAACTCTTTTTTTTTTTTTGGAGGACCCTGGGGTGTTGGATCTGTTACTCTGTATGCTCACTGGGTGTCAGACTCTGTGCCAGTCCCTCTAAGTGACTTCATTCCAAGCTGTGTAGACAGGGAGCACGGCCACCTCCATTGTTTGGTGGGCATCTGGGGTGAGAAGAGGTTCAGTTACTCGCCCATGGTCACAGCTGGAGGAATCAGAATTCAGACCCAGAAAGTCTGGCTCCGTATTTCAGACTCCTAGTTATGATGAGGGGTGTGTTGGGCTTGTTCTTGCAACCTCATGCTTGCTTTCAAAAAAGTATGTATAGGCTTTAAATTTTTTAATTATAAAAAGTAACAATCACTAAAGGAAAATAGAATGTAATAGAAAAATATTTTGAATTTTAGCATCTAAGTCTATTAGGTATTAATGTTTTAGGACATATCCATCAATATCTTCTTTTTCTTGGTAGATATTTATACATCCTTGTTATATTGAATAGATAGTGGTTTGTTCTACTTGATTACCTAACACTTCATATTAAGTGTTTTCCAACATTGCCATAGTACTGACTTAATGGCTGCTTGTTATCTCAGTAATTCACCTATCCTTTCATTTATAGTTGGTCATATAATTTGCTTTGTTGTTTTTTTTTCTGCCTAGGTCAGATAAAGAAGTGATGTGTATTTTTACATGTACCCTTTTTTCAGAAGCAAGAACTATTTTCTTGGTTAAGATTCCAGGACATGGTCCAAAGTCCATGTACATTCTTTAGGGCCTTGATGCATATCTGCCCTGGGGCTTTAGGAGTCCCTTGGCTGCAGAATGAAGACATGGTAAGCATAAAGCGCCTGGCTGTGTTGTCCTTACTCTGTCCTGTACATTTGACGTGACACAGAGACTGGGACGGAGGGACAAGATCTCAGGAGGAAGCATGGCTCCGGTCTGGTCCAGATCCTTTTGCAAGGTGTCTCCTGGGGGCAGTTCAGAGCAGCAGCCACGTCCCATGGGATAGAAGTTAAATCTCATCACACTTTTTCTCGATACAGGATGACACACTGAAATGTAAGTTCCACAGGGGCAAGGGGTTTTGTGTCATTTCTTCATGGTTGCATCCCCAGTGTATTGAAAAGTTCTGGTCCTCACTAACATCTGCTGGGTGTTCGAGTGAACGCCACCTGCAGCATGAGTACAAAGCAGCTGAGGGGGAGCTGGCAAGTACGTGGGAATGCCTACTGCTGAGGTTGCATGGCCAGGTCAACCCAAATAACTCTCCTCCCTTCAGAATCTATTGTTGGCATTGTTCGGGTTGTTTAACCACATGAAAATGCTGCTGCCTAAGCATGTTGCTTAATCCCACTGCCAAAGTCATTTGAAGTCAGATGTATCTTGTCCCTCGTTGATCTCAACAATAGCCCTGGCGTGTCCCTTCGCCCAGCCTCTCTGATTTATCTTCACATTGCCAAGAAGTTGTGGTGTCCGAACAGTGAACATCACAACACCTATGCCTGTGCTGGCCTGTTATCTTTTTTGAGGTTGGATGGGACCTTGGTAACTGGATGACAAAGAAAAAGAAAAGCCCCGAATAGTAAAAGGTGCTGGCCAGTCTGACCTTCCTGGATACACATTTAGCGAGAGTGAGGAATGCACACATCGGAGTCTGAACGTGGAGAGCTCATTCCTGAGACGTAGCTGCTGGAACACATTCCTCATTGGCCAAGTTCAGTGACGCCTCCATCAGATAGCATCGTGCTTGACCGGGCAGGTTCCTTCTGCGGCAGCATGAACGCTTCCTGATCCGTTGAGGCTCCGGCCAGCCGTTGTTTCCTCCAGGAAGCCTGCCTGACTTCCTTCTCCATGAATCCAATTGCAATGCTGTGCCTTGAGCTTCGGTCACAGCCAGTGTGACTGTCCGAGTGGTACTTCTCATGCTGGGTCCCAGTTTTCTGTTCTAAGGAAACAGTTCTCACCTGTTCAGCGTCCTCATTTTATAGAAGCAAAGGGCAAGTGGCTGAGCCAGGGACAAGTGGGGATTGGGAATGTGAATCTCTTCATGGGCCCTGATAATGCTGCTTTTATATCATGAGGTGTGCAGGTATCTTTAAAAATTTTTTTAAAAGATGTATTTGAAAGGCAGAGTGACAGAGAGAGAGGGAATGAGGGAAGAGGGAGGGAGGGAGGGGTTTACTCTTTAAATGGCTGCTTTGGCCAGGGCTGGTGCAGTCTGAAGCCAGGAGCCTGGAACTCCATCAGAGCCTCCTATATGGATGGCAGGGGCCCAAGTACTTGAGCCATCTTCTGCTTTTGCAGGCACATTAGCAGGGAGCTGCATGGGAAGCAGAGGAGCCAGGACTTGAACTAGCACTTGGATATGGGATGCTGGTGTCATAGGCAGCAGCTTAACCCAAATGTGCCACAACGCCAGTCCCCAGATGTCTTAAATATTTAGAAGTAATCAAACCTCCCTAAGGAAAATGCTTGTGGCTAAAAATCAGAGGGATAATTAATTCCTACATGGAAACACTAGACAAAAATGTCTCCTATCACGGACTAAGAAGAAAAGCCAAGACACAATAAGCAACATTCTTATCATGATTTGATCATGTGTCAAACACATTCATGAGACATCCATAATTTGGAACAATTAAGAACAAATGAAAGATGTTTTAGATTGGGAGGTCAACAATTTTTTTTTTCTGTAAAATGTCAGAAAAATACCTATTTTAAGCTTTGCAACTATTCAGTCTCTGTGGCAACAGTGCCTCTCCTGCTAAAGCAGGAAAGTAGCCATCGGACATCTTGTAAACACGTGGGCATGGTGGTATTCCAATAAAACTTTATTTATAAACACAGCCAGTGCACAAGTTTTGGCCTGTAGGCTATTGTTTACTGATACCTCCTTAAGAAAACTGAATGTTATAGAATTGCCGGGACACTGAGTATAAAACTGTAACATAATTTAGCTAGGTTCTATAGCAAAGCAATGGGCATATTTTAGAAAATCTCTACTGCTTTTTTGTTGTTGTTGTTGTTGTTGTTAAATTGGGGACTTGGAGGTCAGTATTTTCTGAGAATTCTTGGGTTCCAAGTCCTTTATTTAAACTCTTATGGGAA